GTTCGATAAAAACTATTTTTACAAAGACACCTATAGGCAGAAGAAATGATTCGAGCTAGGCAAGGAGAACCGGTGTCAGGAGGCCTGAGGGGGCCGGGTGGTGTGGGAAAATGCAGGGACAGGCAAGTGTCAGCCTTAGCCACTGTGTGGGGGGAGGGAGCTTGTGTGGCCGGAACCCAGATTTCACCGCTCCCAACTGGGACAACTTCCTGCGTCACCTCTGAAACGTGTCCTATGCTTCATTGTGCTTGTGATAGGATTAGAATGTGTGTACAGCTGAAAAAAAAAACTGAAGAAAGGAGGGAGGTTGAGTCGGAGGAAAACGCGTGTGGAAGGAAAGGAGGGAAGAAAGGAAGGAGCGAAGGAAAGGAGGGAGAGAGGGAAGGAGAAAGGAAGGAAAGGGACAGGGAGAGAGGGAGGGAGGAAGAAGGGGACCATGTCTCAAAACAAAACATGGCTAGAAATGTAGCTCAGTGTGAGGGCCCTGGGTTCAAGCCCCAAAACTGCATGAATAAATATGTAAAATTTCAAAAGCAAATATTAGGAAACACCCTTAATTTGTCTTCAGGAGGAAGAGGCGTCTGCGAGCACCCCCAAGCCCAGGCCTTCTGAGTTCTCTCTCAGACACAACGGCAACCTCATCTCCCTCACCACTCCACCCTGGCCTGTCCCTCCACAGCAGCAGCCTGAAGGCTTGGGACCAGACTGACCATGACGATCTCCAGCACTTCGTTCTTGCTGATGGCCCCGTTGCCGTCCACGTCGTACAGGGAGAAGGCCCATTCCAGCTTCTGGGTGGGCTTGCCCGCGGTGGTCATGTGCAGGGCGATGACGTACTCCTTGAAGTCCAGGGTGCCATCGCTGTTGGCATCGAAGCTGCGGAACACGTGCTGCGCATAGGCCTTGGGGTCTGCATCGGGGAAGAACTTGGAGTAGATGCTCTCGAACTCCTGCCGGGTGATGCGACCGCTGGGGCACTCCTTCAAGAATGACTGGTACCAGGTACACAGCTCCTCCTCTGTGAACTTGGTGTTGAGCTGCAGCTCCTCCAGGATCTCCTTGGACAGCGCCCCGCTCCTGCTGTTCCCCATGGGTGAGGGCGAGTGGGCACCAGCTGGCTTTGGCTAGGACGGGCGGTCTGGCTGCAGGGGCCCCACGGCAAGATTAAGTTGTTGGGGGATTAGGGCAGATTTGCTGCCAGTTCCTGGAGGAGGGAGGGGCAGGCAGCTCCTGAGATTAAAAGAAAGAGCTGAGAGCAGGTGAACAAATCTTGGCTTCCCCCGAGGCCAGGAGGGCAGTGGGACCATTGGGCCAGAGTGTCTCACAGCCCTACTCCAGCCCTCTAAGTGCCCTGGTGGCAGAGGCTGCGTCTCAAGCCAGGACCACATCTCAGATGGAAACTTGTTAAGCAGAGTTTAAAAGTGCATAGACACTACCACTCCACCTGGAGCTCAAATCCCTGCTTTGCCACCTTGCTAGCCGTGTGACCTGAGGCACTTTCTTTAATCACTTGTTTACCATTTGCTTTTCCTTGTTATTTGGTATGGAAGCTGGGGAGCCCACAGCTACATTTCCAGCCCTTTGAATTATTTTGAGATGGGCTCTTAATAGAGTGTCCAGGTTGGTCTTAAATTTGTAATCCCCTGGCCTCAGCCTGCTGTATAGCTGGGACCATAGGCGTGTGCCTGTTTATTAACCTCTCTCTAGGTGAGAGGTTGTCTTCATCCTTTGTCTTGGTCCCATTTTGGCTTTAATGTCACCTTCTCAACAAGGCCCGTTCTGACCACTCTCTTTCCAATAGCACAACTCCCATGCCCAGCCCCAGCTCCATGGGTACACTCCAACCTGCCCTCACGGAGGACCAGCTCCAGAAAGGCAGTGATTTTGTGTTGTTTCTGGCTGCATCCAAGTTCTCTAAATAGTGCCTGGCAGGTTTGGGCCCTCAATAAATATTTGGTGGGTGAACAGGCAGAACATAGTGTCTTCCTACTTGTTATTATGAGGCCAAAAGGAGCCAGAGTAGGCCACAGGATGGAATAAACTGATCCTGGCACAGAGCAGGTCCCAAGCACCCACAGTCTGGATTTAGGATGCTTCCACCTTCAGTACAAGGTTTTTTTTCTCCCCCAGTGGTGCAAAACCTTCCACTGTTTTTCTTTTTTAGTACAGTATTCAATAAATTATATTGAGATACTCAATTCTTTAATGTAAAGTAGTTTGTGTTAAAGGATATTGCCCAATCATAGGCTAATGTAAATGTCCTGAGCTTGTTTAAGGTAGGTAAAGTTAAACTATGGTGTTCAGTAGGTTAAGTGCAATAAAAGCAATTTTGGCTCATGAGAGTTTTCAATTTATAATAGTTTTATCGGGATGTAATCCCCATTGTAAGTTGAGGAGCACCCATATCCATTTTTCTTGTTCATCAGTAACAAGGAAATTCAGAAATCAAGGTTCATACTTTAAAACTCTGGCAAGTCATTCAACATTTTTTGGGAAAAAAAAAAAAAAAGGATGTGGGCTAAACACAATGTACTCACTGCTTAGTTTTAGCCTGAAAGTTGTCTGCTTTCCATCAGTGTGGTGCTGGGATCTAGCCGGCGGTGGATGGATAAATAAACAAGGGGCAGGAGGTGTGTGTGTGTGGGGGGGGGCTTGCAGTGCGCTGCACCTTGAGGGTAAGCACAGAGCATAAGGGGAACCCTGTGCACACTGTATCCCTAAATTCTTGTTACCCAGAGGCAATGGCCCTGGCTCAGCCGAGCTCGCAGCGTTGGCCCCACGATAGGAAGCTGTTCCCTTTCTGTTGGGGGTACCAGGAAAGATAAACTCTAATGTCTTCAGGCAGCTGGGCCAAGGACTTAGGCTCTATCTTCTAATGGGCGAGTGGTGGGGAAAGCAAGGCCTCACTGCAGAGAGAAAGCTACCAGGCCCACTCTGCGACTCAGGCATTGCTGTGACAAAATTCCTGATCAATCAAAAAGGAAGGCTTCGCTCTGGCCCACAACGTGGGAGCTTTTGGATCCGTTGGCTCCCATTGCTTGTGCTCTGTGGCAACATCAGGACACAGACTGTAAGGGAGAGTCAGCTGCTGTTCACATGGTGGCCAGCAAGCAGAAAAAGAGACAGGAAGGAGCCTGTGTCTCCCGTCCTCCTTCATGGGCCCGCCCCCAGTGACCTCACTTCCGGTCACTGGCCTCCCCTCAGACAGGTTCCACAACCTCCTATTCGCACTATAGGCTGGGTACCACCATATACGCATGGTCCTTTGAGAAATACTTATCAGAATCATACCCCCACATGGCCTTGCTCAGGAAAGACCTAGAAGGCCAAGTACCGAAGTGCTCACGCACCCTTCCAGCACACCCCATCCTACATGTCTCCTGAGTTATTTTGCGGGAAACCTTATTGCTGTGTGTGTGTGTGTGTGTGTGTGTGTGTGTGTGTGTGTGTGTGCTTTTACATTTTTTCACATTTGCTTATGAAGCCTCCATTCAGCCTAGTATAGCCTTGGGAATGGTGGGGTAGAAATACGGTGGGGAGGCTCAGGAGGTAGCTTGGTGATGTAAGTGCCTGCCTGGCAAGTGCAAGGACTTGGGTTTGATCTCTGGTACTGCATGCCGTGCCAGCCCCAGAACCCCAGAAACACCATGCTGGCTGGCCACCAAAACCGGGCGTGGTGGTGCACACCTGCAATCCCAGTGCAATGGAGCAGAGAAAAGAGGATCATTAAGAGTCTGAGCTGCATAGCAGAGACCAGGTATCAAATGATAAATAAATAATTTTGTTTTAAAGTTAGAAATAAGGTGAAGGCAGAGGTCCTGGCCCTTGCTCAGAGCTTTGAGTGGGGGGCGAGAAGTGTCTCCTGGTGACAAACCTGTCTACATCGAGCCTGTGCATGAGGCAAGGCCGACGGCTCCAGTGAGAATTGGGGTTCCAAAAGGCACACCTCCAGCCCCAGGTCCCACGGGTGCCCGTTCACCAAGCCAGGAGAGCTCAGCTCTGCCAGCTCCCTGCTCAGGGCTTCCCTCGCTACAGCTGCCTCTTTCCCAGGCAGGCTCTGCTAGGGGGCCAGGATCTCCAGGTCTGTAGGTAAAGATCTGGGGCTGCCACGACCACAGGAAGGGTCACGGATGAAGAGACACGAAATGAACCCTGCCAGAGCCCTCCCCCAACCTTCGGCTTTTCTGTCCCTTCCGCAGGTGAGGACAAATGAGGGGAAGCTGGTCAGAAGCAGTGCAGTACAGCCCACATCCTTCAGGTTGCTGTGCCCAGGAGAGTCCTCCTCCCCCAGTGGGGACCCAGGGAGGGGACCGCAGGCAGCTGTGTTGATACTGCTGAGATCGGGAGGGGTCACGACCCAGAGGTTTGTTTGAAAACCTGCATAAACATCTTCTGTCGGAGGGAGAGCTTATGCTTCTTAGCCAAACAAGTTGTTGCAGATGATGTATAGTGAATGGATTTGTTAAGTCTGCGCTGGGGCCATAAACCCTCCCGGTTCCCTAAAGACTGCTGTCACTGCCGGGGGAGGGCCCTTTGTATCTCCCCCTGCCAGCCTTGCCTGGACTAAAAGAGGCAAATGCAGGAGGCTGGGCCTGTCACCCCCAAGCAGGACCTTGGTCTTGGCTGTTTGGGCTCAGACCACAACCTGCACCCCATTCCTCCACCTACCCTGGACAGCATGAGCCTCCGGTCTCCAGAAACCCCTGCACTGAGAGGAGAGAGGAACGGAGGTGGCGGCGGAGAGACAGCCTGACGGCCACCTGCTTGCTGTGAATAGCTAGCAGTCCTATGAGTGGACATCCTCGGGGTCCTCCCCAACACTTCCCTTCCTACCACATCCACTCCCACCTGTCCTCTGCCTGGCACCTGACTGTCCTCTCCCTCTCTTGCCCTCTCCAGGGAGCACTGCCTCTGCGCCACCTGCACAAGGTCAGGCTGTACATGTAGCTGCCAGTGTCCCCCAGAACACACATGGAAGGTCTGTGATGGCCAGCACCACCCTGCGCTTCCTGCCCTGTCCCACAGCCACTTGCCTGAGCGCACCAGCTCCTCCCATCCCTGGCAGCCACACTGGCCTCGAACACCTACCCTGGCCAGAAACCTTCCCCTATAACCTGACAGGCCTCCTGGGTTTGACCAGATGCCCCCTGCTCAGGAAGGCCGCTACCTCCTCCTGGTTGATGCAGCAAATCACCCGCCCTCGGCTCCCACTGTCCTCGACACTGAGCCTCTTCTGCACTGGGCAGTGTGATGAGTTAACTAGGCCTCCAGCTTCTGTCTCTCTCCGTTACAGCACGAGCCGTGCGCAGGCAGGACTCCTGGTGATTCAGTTCCCGATGTGACTGCCATGCCTGAGCACTGTCGGGCATACACAATGCTGTGATTATTAAAGGAATAAATGGACTAATGAGGAAAGAATGGCCTTAGAAGGAAGCACAGGGCTGGAACTCACACGAACACGAAGTCACCAGAGGGATGGGGCTAGTGACAGCACATGGTGAGCCTCTGGGTACTAGCGACCAGGTGCCCTCCATCCCTGCTGTCCTCGAAGTAGAATAATCAGCAGCCCTGGGAGCCCTGGGAGGCTGGGACCATCCCTACAAAGAACATGGTGGCAGCGTTTTAGGAAGGTGGCCTGCATGCCTCAGTGTCTCTGCACAATTTATTTCACATGGAGTAAATCTGAGCATCTCAAGTGTACATACAGAGCCAGAGAAAAAAGTGCAAGAGTGATAAACTTCCTGAAAACACTTTGTATTGATGCAGGACAATTATATATAGCAAACACCTTCAAAATTTAAACTTTTGAAACATTTAATTTTTCAGCATTAATACACACGGATACTATTATGGGGTGGGGAGCAGCCGGTTACATCCTCCATGGGGATCAGATTTTCAACAGTGTTACTTATAAATTATATTACATCAATTTTATTTACTGATCTAGGCAGCCAGAGGAGGGAAGGATATACACTGTGAAGTAAACACATTCATACTGGAGTGAGGAATGCTGGTAGGAGACACTGGCTTTGTAACATTAAAAAATGTATAAAGTATTTAGCAAAAGTTACAGAAAACAGACCAGACAAGCAAGTTTATTTTGTTAGAAAATTTCACTTTCACAGGGCTTGCTGATGTGCTTGTGTCCATGAAGAGGAAGCCTCTGGTCATCTCCTTCTTAAGGGAAGGGAAAGGATGCAAATTTGGGGCCCTCATCACCCAGGATGGCTGGTGTCCCCTGGAGTGTCTGTCCCCAGGTCCACACAGTGCTGCCTGAAAGCCACAATGCTGGAGAGTCTGTTTGCTGAGGGAGGGATGAGCCCTATTGAACATGAAGAATAAGGGTCCAGGTGTGGGTCTGGTGCAGGATACAGGACAAATGAGGCAGCAGGGCAGGGCCAGTCCTGGCTCTTCCTCTGGTACCACAGGCTTCCTTCTCTAGCCCAGTGTCACATTGTCCCAATGAGAATACTCTGGGCCCTCAGCCTTCACATCCTACCACCATAATCTAATTTGAAATCCTCTCCAGAGGCCCGAAGTCCCCAACATCACTTGGAGTACCTGAAGGACACCCCACCCAAGACACCCCCCACCATTCCTGACAGAGCCATGCCTGCACCTGGAGATGGAGGAATGGTACCCAGGTTTGACCTGTTCTTTCTACCCTAACTTAACCTCCAGAAGGTGGTCTTTTTCCTCCAGCAAGTTCCCATCACAATGATGCTCCTGGCTAGGGAAGGAGGTGGACTCCTCTGGGGCAACATTCAGCTCTTGAGCTGGAATTCCACCCAGGCCCCGTGGGCTCTGGAGTCATCTGGCCTCAATCCAGCCATGTCCTCAAATCACAAGCAGGGATTTTCAGTTGCCTTTCACTGAGCAGCACATGATCAAGACCTAGCTTGGGGGACCTTGGGGCACACCCACAGCCTGGCCTGGACTGCCTGGGTCTGGTCCTATGCCTGCTGCCATCTGCTACTCCCTAGTTGGGTGTAGGCACCACCAACAGAGTGAGGCTCCACTAACAACTAGGATTCAAGTGAGATGACATCATCTATGTCCCTCCCTGCCCTGGCTCCTGGGGACCCAAATGGTAACAATTTTTTTTTTTTTCTGCAGTTGGGGTATGTCCTAGGAGGAGCGGTCTCATTCTTAGCTCACAAAATTCTGTAGTCACATTTCAACCTAAATGGAGAAGTGACTCTCATGAAAGGTTTTAGACAACCTTATGCACAGTTATGTAGATGACATCCAGATTAGGAATGACCAGAAAATAAGAGGGGGAGCAGACAGAACACAGTACTGAGAGGCCCAAGAGCCCACCTAGAACAAGTACCCTCAGCTGGCACAAGAAGCCACTGGTCCAGGGAGCGATGACAGAGCGCCTAGGGCCAGTGCCAGCCTCTCACCCCACACCCCTTCAAGGCCCCAATGCTGAGTGAATGCAGGGAGCATGGAGCTGGCATTGGGCACACAGGAGATGCGGGTCTTCTGACTGGGACGCAAGCTTCGGGTTCCAGAGCTGGAAGGCAGCTGTGACCCTGTCTGCCACTGTCCCTGCAAACTCCGGCTGCTGGCTGCACTGGAGAAAACCTAACATGGACCAAAAAGATGAGCGTAACCCCCCAAAACACCTGTGGACATAGCTCGCATCTGCAGAGCCCTGGGAGCTGTCAGAAGCAGCGGAGTGTTATGCAGGCAAGATGAAGATCCTAGGCCATCAGCCTCCAGGGCCAAGGACTCAGTTTAAAAACAAGGAAGCAGGGTGGCCCACCTGATACGGTTATTACTCAGCAAGGGAAAGGGACACACTGTTACATACAATGTCATAGGCCATGAAGGGCTACATCCTCAGCGTGATTCCATTTACATGACATGTAGAAAAGGTCAGAACACTGATCAGGCTTGCTGGGTCAGGAGGCGGGAGGAAAGCACTGACCACAGTGGGGCAGGTACAGTTTTGGGGTTTTTTTAGGGTGATGGAAATCTTATGTGGATTTTGGTAATGATTACAAAACCATATAAGTTTTTCAGAATTTGCAGAACTGTATACTTCAAAGGGGTGAATTTTACTACACCAGTTACACCTGCACTATCCTGGAAGAAGGTGGTTGTGAGTCGTGTAGTGGAGGAAAGAATTCTTCAAGTGAGATGGTGACCAACTGCACCCAGCAGGCTCCTGCTCTGCACCACACCTGACATTTGTGAAGTGCCTTCCTCTAGCTCCATAACAAGCAGCAGATTTGGAGGCCCTTTCCAGAGCTCTGTGTCATAGCTACTCACATCTGGGGTAAAATCCCCTGAACAAGCCATGGCCTCTGATGTCCTCTGAATTTTACAGGTTGTATTTCCAAGAAGGGACTTCAGCTCAGCCAAGAGTTTTGCACAGCCATCTCCTAATCTAGCAATTGGTTGGTTTTCTCAAAGGGAATAGAAACAAATCCCTGGTCATGAGTTCATACTTCCTGTTTGCTCCAGCCATTTGCCTCATCCAACAGAGAAGGCTGTCCTACCACAGAAATCCCCAGAGGCAACAGGCCATGGAGCTGAGGTAGGACAGGAACGTCAGGGCCCAACATGCAGGCCCGCGCGGCCTTGTGCATTGCAGCACTGCCCCAAAGCAGGGAGAAGGTAAAATAATAGGGAGATGGGCGGCTCTTCCTAGAGTTTGCCATAGCAACTAACCACTTTGCACATTGGTTCAGCTTAGAGATTTTTTTTTTTAAAACAAAGGCTTTCAGGTAAGGATATACCTCCTCCGTGGCAGAGAGCTTGTCCAGCATGGGAAAGAGCTGCATTCAATCCCCAGTACCACAAAAACAAAATGAGTAACAAACAAACAAATCAGGCTTTTACAAGACAGACCTAAGTGCACTAAGTCTCCCAGGTGGTGGAAGGTACCAGGGGCTAATCTGGTTTTAGAAACTAACATGGCTGTTCACTCCCCCAACCAAATCCTCTCAACTTAAGCAGAAAGACAAACATGAAACCATGCTCAACAGAGTGGGGGTGCAGCTCAGTGGTAGAGTGCTTGCCTAATACGTATCAGGCCTCAGGTTCCATCCCCAGCACCTTAAAAGTGAAGCCAACAGCCTGGATAGTGTGCTTCTTACTCCAAGGTCCATTTCAGATTTTCTAGACCTCATCCTAATTTTGATTTTACCCAAGGCTAGAGGTGTCCTGTTAATAGGGAAAGAGGTTGGATCTGAGTCCCATGCCATTCCCCGGCACTCTCTGGCTATGCTTGAGCTTCATTCCTACTATCCACTTAGCAAGGAGAGTTACTGAAAGCCAGCAACAAAAAAAATCTGTCAAATTGGAGCTGGATCTGGGCCATGATGGTCTGGTGACCAGGTGATTGAACTCTTGTTGCTGCCTTCCTTCCACTCTCTAGATAAATAGCTCATCACAGAAGTTTATAATTCAAGAATCCCACCAGGTAGACATGGAGAGTGAGTGATGTTGTTCCTCTCTAGAAAGCTCTAAACATTCCCTTGTCCATCGGGAGAGCAGGGAACAGAGGCAGTGCTCATCTTATATGCAACTACAGTTCCACCACCCAGCATGATGGATGAATGAATGCAGATTAATCAGCCCAACAGACAGTACCTGTGAACATCTCAATCCTGTAGAGTATCTTTATGTCAATGCTGAAGTTATCTGCCTGCCAGGCCACTGGGGAAAAGATAAATCTATACCAAATAAGCTCGTAGGCTCCTCCATAGTAGAGCTATAGCTTGTTGTCAGATTAGATCCTGGCACATTGCTTGACTTTAACTAAATGCTTGATGAAAGAACTGAGGGGGGGGGGAAGAAGAGGTGTATGTGAATGAGCTCAAGAGACGAGGGTGAGGGGGTAAGGAGGAAAGAAGTATTTCTAATAATAGGCCAATTTGGGGTACCCTGGGAGGGGCAGGAGCCTACTCCACTCCAGGGCCAGAGGTCTTAGGAACCCTTAAATGGGCAAGAGGAGGCAGTCAGTGAGTCATATTGCACTCAAAATTTTGTATTAATTACAAGGCTATGGGCTTCAAATTCTTGAAAATCACCCACAAATTAGTTTACTAAGCCACAAAGCAATTACCACTAGCACCCATTTTTAATAAAGAAACCAAGAGATAGTATCGTAAAATTGGTAGCTGGTGTCATAGCCCAAGCCCAGAACTAGGAGGAGCAATTCCAGATTCTTCTCCGTGGGATGCCGTTTCTCCAGCACATGGACAGATCTCAGCTTTCACCCTGTAGACACCTCAATGCGGGCCAAGGGGTGGAATGTGTCAGCAAGGAAAATGACAGCTTGGTTTGCTTTAGTAGACTGGACATCTTTCTGATGTAAACTAAAAGTGGGGCCCAAAGAGCCAAGAATTAGAAGTCACCCATTGCTAGCACATAAGATGGAACGGAGGCAGGATCTGTGAGCTGCGCTCACAGGATTCGGCCCTTGGGAGAAGTGCAGTCAAAGGCAAAGTCATCAATGGGAAAGACCGAGAGGATGGATGCTCAGGGCACAGGTTCCCAGCTTGAAGCTGCCCCCATCACTACGTGACCTCTAATACCCCACCCCCACCCTGAGCCCCCAGATAGTCTCTAGATCACTATGACTGAGAACACCTCTGCTGTACTAGTGGAAGGAAAGAAGAAGTGAGCTGGACCTCACGGCAGTGCTGAGAGCTTCCCAGGTCCTACTTGCCCGGTTGTCTCCAAGGAAGCTGGGCATAGCAAAGGGAAGTGCTGGTACACAGTGAGGTTTGGTGCTGATACTGCATGGATGTGAACAATTTACTGCAGCTGCATGAGACCTTGCAGTGCCTATCCAGTGCCTGAACAAGGGCCCGCATTCTCAACCCCATTGTGCATAAGCAGACAGAACTATCTGGAGATGCCTGGATTCAGCCTGACCTCTCTCTCATGTGGGACTGCCGAGCCCCATGAAGCCCATGGTGGGCAACCTGGTGTGTGTGTGTGTGCGCGCGCACGTGTGTGTGTGTGTGTAGGGGGTAGGGGCCAGGGGCCAGGAGCCAGGGTAACCCAATGATGCAGAGGGTGGTGGTCAGACGGGGCCCATGGGTCTCTTGTGGCTGGCTGGTTTCTGAGATGAGCTGGCTTGCTTCTGAGGACATGCTTCTGGATGAGATGTTGCTGGCTGAGAGCTTCAGAAAACTACTGAGACTGGGATGGGATGTTGCGCTGGGGAGGTGGGTTTCCTTCAGAAGGCAGGAGAGGGAGTGGTAGATTAGGGGATCCTGGGAGGAATGCCTGATCTGACAGGAGCCATGATTAAATGCTCCAACTTGGGGCTAATTTGCCAAATGAGGTAGTTCCAACCTGACCTGTTCAGGCAGGGTAGGTCCGGGAAGAGAAAAGCCAGGCCTTCCCAAGCCCACTGGGGATGAAAAGCAGTCAAGAAATTCAGCTGTGACTCCCAGAATGCAACTGGAAAAAAAAATGGGGAGGGAGGGCTGCAAAGGATTTGTGGCAAGGGCTACAAGCCAAAGGGCGCCTTCCATCCACAGTTCTGACCCTGACCCTGGCTTAGACACAGACACATTCCTTCCCAATCTTCCAAAGCCCTGCAGACAAGGTGGGCAGCTGGAGGACGCCCCTTGGGGCATCTGGGACACATGTGTGTGATAGTCACCCCGCGGACTTCAGCAGGGATCACAAAGTTCCAGCCTCAGTTTGTTCTCAGAGCGACAAGCACAGCATGGGAGTTGTGGGGGGGTCTTAGAGACAGGGACAGGGTTGTGGGTCCAAGGTCGTGTTGGTCAGGGAATTCCAGGGCAACTCCAGTTGGGCTATCTAGGTGACCCTTCTGGCAATTACCAGGTTTTCCTCCCTCTGTCCATGGACCAGGAGAATGGGTGGGAGGGCAGCTCCACCCAGCAGGGGCCTCCACCCCCTCTGTGATGCCAGCCCCTCTCCTGGGTAGGACCCCCGGAGGCACCGGGGCAAGTCTAGATCTCCATGTCCACAGGGCGAATGTTGCCTGTTTTGTGCTCTCTGACCCACAGCTCCCTGTCTTTGGCCGGGTCCACTTTTCGAAGCAGTTGGTCCACAGGCTCGACTGTCTGCAAGGGACAGAAAAGAGGGGACACTGTCAAAAAGGTGGCAGCTGAGCTGGGGTTGTTTCCTCTGTGCCATGCCGTTCTTGCCTGAGTGCTGTTCAGAGCAGCCTTTCCAGAGGGTTCCATGGGAGGGACTCCTCCAATAGAAAAATCAGAGGGCTATGAAAGCCAGAACGCAGAAAAGGTACTTCTCACTTGCAGGCCCCAGGCCTGGATGAGGGGCAGAATATTGTTCAGGCTGATGGCCTGGGACCTCATCCTGCACAGAGTAGGACAAATGGACTTTATCTTTAGGTACTCTGAATTATTTGTGAAGTGTTTTTTGTTTGTTTGGCTTTTTGGTTTTCTGAGAGGTACATCAAGAGAAATAGTAAATGATAGTAATGTCTTCAGCTACTTTAACTGTCATGAGTTTCTTTCTCCTTGGGTAGCAGCTCAAGGAAGTGTCTATCTCGTGTTCTGGGGAAGGATCTCTGCAGTCACCCAGAGCGGTCCTGACAAGTCCATCCCCAGAGGTCACTCATGAGCAGGCACACCTGCCCACTCCCCAGCATAGGACAGGTTCATTTGTAGAAGCCACTTAAACTGCCATGGCATCGTGGTCGGTGGCTGCCCCCAGCCCCTTGCCCCTGCAGTCCTGCTGGCCTCAGCCTGAGCGTGGGGACTCACGCTTTGGTTGAACATGTCCGTCTCATGCCGCAGCTGTGTGTACTGACACAGGTGCTGTCGGATCATCTCCACCCTCTCCACCTCTAGCCGCTCCAGCTCCTGCCAGGGAAGAAAGGATCAGGACCTCCGAGCATACCCCCAGCTCGGGACCTTCCCACTTGGGGGGTCCTGGACTACAACGCATGCAAAACACAAGTCCCCAGCTGAGGATGTCAACCCCATCTGTCTCTCTGAGCTCCAGTTAAGACTGTAACTATCTCTGGGGAGAAGATGAGGTTTTGACAGCCACTACTCTTTCATTTCCTGAAAGCCTCCTCTGTCAGGCATGGTGTTACCTAACTGACCTCACCATAACATTAAGAAAGAAGTTTTGTGATTATCCCAATTTTCCAAGCCAGGGAACTAAGCAGGAATGTCACTTGCCCAAGGTGACATGGAATTAAGGAGCAGGATTTAAACCTGGGCCTATCACATTCTTAATCACAATTTTACCCCAGCACAGCCCCAGCCCTGGTACCGCAATGGGGTGGAACACTGAGCCTCTCAAACTCTGGAGTCTCTGTCCTCAAGCCTCTGCTGAGCACCCTCCTCCTTCCACCCACCCTAGTGCTGGGGGACAGAGTGGAAACCAGCCGCGGGCAGGGAGAGCAGGAGCAGGTAGAGCAGGCTTGAAGGGGAGGCATCTGTTATCAAAAGGAAGCGCGGACAGGGCTTGTCCTTTGGTCTCTAGGTAGTTCCTTGTCATTGGAATTCGGGGGATTACGCTATTATTTTGTGCATAACTAGGTCACTGCCCAGGTGATTAGCTGGGAAGTGGGGCAAGGCAGGGGGCTTAATTAGGGGATTAGGAAGGAAAATCAGGTCAATGACCCTGGTGGAGGCCTCTAATCTGCCCTGGTGGGCTGACATCTGGAAGGCAGCTGCCTGGTCCTGTGCTGGGTGGATAAGGGGTAACTCTGGCCAATGGGATGGCCGGGTGAGCAACACGGCTTCCTCTTTCTCTAGCCCAAATACCAGCCTCGCTTCACTTCACACCCAGTTGGGTCCTAATCCATGAGATGCTGCCCCTTTCCAGTGCAGCACCAGGGAGTCTGCTGCTTTGGTCAGACTCCTCCCGCTTCCCTGAGGCAGCTCCTCCCATGTCACAGTCTGGGGAGGCCCCCCACAGGACTGCAAGTCTCTATGTGTGTATGCCCGGGGTGGGAGTGGGGTCACTTTCTACTGGTTGGCTGTGCACCTGAAGGGTCTGTTCAGGGCACGGGCTGGTTGATATCGACCCTCAGTGGAGAGCTGGAGGTGGCTGCGGCAGGACCTGGTCCTGGCCCAGGTTCATGTGGCAGGTGGCACTATAGCCCTTGAATGCACACACAGACCCAGACGAACATCTTGGCTCCAACCTTGGAACAGATCTAATGCCACCTTCTATGCCACAGCCCCTCCCAGGGCTCCCTCTGCATGGGCACGTTCATGCCCTTCTGGCCACGTACCAACGTGGTGGTCACCATCTCTTCAAACCACTTGGACTGGGCCTGGTTGTAGAGATCCACACAGCGCATGAGGTCATCTCCTGGAAAGGCCAACAGCCAGCGTCATGTGACGTCACTCCGTTCTTCCCTTCCTTAGTCTTCCCCACCCATCACCATAGCGGCCTGCCTTCTAAGGTCGTGGCAGCCACTGGGAAGTTAGGGGGTGAGGTGGGAAGGAGAGGGAGGCAGAGAAAGAGAGGAGCAACCCAGTGCCCCAGGGAAACTAGTTGTAGAGCATCTATCTGAGCCAGGAACTCAGGATGGGTGTCTCATGAAGAGTGTGTATGTGCCCAGGAACAGCACAGGCCTAAGAATTAGAAAGGCTTTCTTTTAAAGTCAGCAGTCTGCATGCATATTGGAGCATGATTCATTAACATATGTGCTACAAGCCACTTCTATACTAATTAAAGGAGAGATGTGTGCGAGTCACATGGGTGCGTGTGTGTGTGTGTGCACATGCACGTGTATGCATGTAATAGCATGTCATTGTGAATCACAGTATAATGTGCCTGGTGATTATGGCTCATTCACTGTGCAAAAAATTCATTCATTGAACAAACACCTACGCTAGAGTGCTATGTACATACTACCCTCAGAAGAGCAGCAACCTCGGGAAGCAGGAAGGGTGAGCGAGCGTGCGTGCGTGTGTATGTGTGTGTCAGCTCCTATTGCTTTCCATTCTATAACAAGTGATCTCAGCAAATGTGACTATGAACTCTTGCAGGTTGCTCTGTTCCTCCCTGTAATCCATATGGATGTTTGAAACGCTTTGTAGTTGGAGCCGCAACAGCCCAGGAAGTAACTGCAAACATGACAGAATGTATCTGCACCTTGGCAACTCGCTGCACACACTCAGCCTGTGGACCACAGTCAGCAGCTCTGGGAGCTGTGGGCAATGCCGGAGCCAGATCTGCCCCAGAGCTGCTGAGCCGGAAGCTGCGTTGTCACCAGCTCCTCTGGGGGTGCTTAGGGGCCTATGGTTGGGGGAGCTCTGCCACACAGCTGTGCCTAAATGTAGCTCTCAGAGCTGCATCTTCAGGGGCTGCATGAAAAGGTGTCTGGGGCCCTACTCAGGGTCAGGGAAGTTCACTGATATCTTCACTCCAGTTGTTCTGGAGGAGACTCTAGGAACTCCAGAAGCTGGACTGTAAAATAGAACTTGAAATTCCTCCTGTGATGTCGCTTGTGCTTATGTGTCTTCTGCTAGGGAAGTGAGTGGTGCCTGCACAGCTCAAGGCCTCACACGCAGCTTTGCTGCCCACCTGATGGCCATATTGCGCATCACCTCTGCCACAGGAAGGGACACAGGGCTGCACAGGACAAGGGCTGAGAGCTGAACACAGCCCAAGTTGAGGGTCTTGTGCATTTTACTCATGGCTCAAGGCCCCTGACTGGACCTTTGACCCCAGCAGGCACTGAGCTGCAGGGAGGAAGGGCATTTCTCTGCAAGTGCAGGGAACGCCTGTGCCTGCCTGGGGCTGAGGTCTGTGTGCCACCTGGGAGGGGCCAGACAGGAAATGCGGGAGCCTGAGCCACTGATCCTGCTTTTGGGGAACGTGCTGCAGGAACTTCCACCACACCAGGAAACAGCAGGCCAAGACAGTGCGTTCGCTGTTGAAGGCAGCTCAAGGCTGAGAAACCAGACCCTCCTGCGCAGCATTCCCCAAGAACGGGAATGGCTGGGTGCTCAGGCTCACTCCATTACGTCTTGCTCGGACATGGAAGCTAACCTGCCCACTGTGCCTCTGCTTTCCTCATCTGTACAAGGGTATAATGGCTGTGCTTTCGTAGAGTCACTGTAGCAATTACACAAGTAGACATATGGACAGTGCTCGGGGTGCAGACTTGCAGAGACAGCACGTTTGACATGAGCCACATTAACAATGACGATTACGACGATTTAAGGTCAGGCCGCAATGATCCCAATTCCCTCCTTTCCAGAAACCTCACAGAAGATCAGGGAGAGGGAGGGAAGCGAGCAGGACGAAACAAGTGGCAGCATTTTGTGAGCAGCCAGGCTGCCCAGGAACATGCAGACAAGCAGAGCCTTTGGAATAAGAGAAAGCTGGATTCTGGCCTTGAATTCGGTAACTGTGAGTGTGGGGCTGGTTTCTCTTTCTCTCTCCTATCACTTTTCTTGTCTGCAACAGACCAGGAAAATGCCTCTTCACAGTGAGGTGCTCTGCAGATTAAGGGCCAAAGCTCTGAGGCCTGGATCCCGGGCCTGGCATGCGGTACGTGCTCAATGAAGGTAGTTTTTTTTTTTTTCCTATAATTTTATTGAGAGATAAATAGCAATGAGACAGTTTCAAATCAAATTGGTAGGACAGTTTCAATAATTAACACATTGCATACTCTCTTCCTAGTGGATGAAGGTAGTTTTTATTAGTTTCTTCTGTAGTGGTGGGGATTGAGCCAAATGCTCTGTTACTGAGCTCCAGCCCCACCCCAAGGCAGTGTTTCCTTACAGTAGGTCTAAGGACTTGTCACTTTTCTCACAGAATAATTTCAAAGGAGAGGAATAAGAGAGCCTTTTATCTGAATAGTAACAACAACAACAACAGATAAAGAATAGTAACCAATCCCTTGCTCTTGAAAATGCCAAGACGCTTCTTATCTCAAAGACAACCTCAAATCAAAACAGCAGAATGCCTTGAAAATGGCAAGAATGAAAATATCACGAATCAGAACTTGTGAGATCTGATTTGGACAGTAGGAAAGAGGAAGGTATGGTGGGTTGCATATTTCATGGCTAAAAATCAAATGAAAAACCAACAAACAAACATGTGAATCCTGCCTTCCACGCATAAAAACACTAAAAAAACCCAAGTTTGACTTTTTAAGAAAATCTCAAAACAGGGCAAGTTTTTCTGAGTGTCTCCTACTGGAGCCCAGACATCATAGAAAAAACACAACTACAGAGAAAAAAGTAACAAAGGCAGGCACGCAGGCAAAAGCATAATTACAATGAATGAAATGAAAAGACAAAAGATAGAGGATCTGCAACGCCAAAGGATTAATTTCTCTAGCAGGAGCGGTGGTGCACACCCGTAACCCCAGCCCTCAGGAAGCTGAACCAAGAGGACTGCCTCGAGTTCAAGGTCTGCCTGGACCACATGGCAAGTTCATAACCAGCACGAACGACCCAGGTCAAAAGAACAAAGAAAAAAAAATCACAAAAGAATCCAAGAATCCTTATCAATCAATCCATAAGAACAACCACTGAAGAAAAAAAAAAAAAAAAAAAGGGAGAAGACACGTGATTCATGTTGCAGAAAAAAAAAATGATTTATATGTATGTTTTTAAAGCACTCAACTCTGCTTACAGAGAAAAGCAAACCAAAAGCAAAGCACTGGGTATTTGTTTGTTGCTTGTTTTGTATTTCCCCAGCACACCAATGACGTTACGTTTTGATAACAGGTGATGTAGATAAAAGTCTAAGAAACAGATATCCTAGATGCTACTGGTGGGCATCATGACTGGAAAGCAACACAGAAGTATGCATCAAAATGAATGAAAATGAACTAAGGAAATAGCTCGGTGCTCTAAGCACCTGCCTGGCAAGCACAAGGTCCCGAGTTCAATCTCCAGTACCACATGCCATGCCAGCTCTGTAGTGAGATCCTGTATCAACAATAACAACAAAGACTGAAATCTTCTGACCGGCATCTATACCCTCTCCACCTGCAGATCTGGCTCTATACATACTCAGTTATGTTAACATATCTTGCTGGCAGCGGCAGATACTCTGAAACAAGCTAAGAGTTCCAAAACTCAAGTAGGAAAAAGATGAAATAAACTTAGATACAAGCATGCCACTGGACACTAGTCAAACATTAAAAAGTGTAATATACATGAAGGGATGCACAGACAGATGTAGAGGGAATACAACGGAATTAGCCTCACATATCACAGGTAATAGGAAATTCAGAAGAGTATAGTACGATCTAATTTGCATAAGCTTGAATGTTATTTTTTAAAAAATCAAAACAGGAAATATGGATGGTGATCATGTCTGGCATTAACACTTTATATTCTTGTGCGCTGATTACTTAGTATGTACCAATACTTGTTTTGCAATAGATGTAATTTTTAAAAAATGTATTAAATTGATGCAGCTCTTCTCTCTTGGGTCCCTCTTTCAAAACTCAATAAATCTACTATGGATTTAAAATAAAGCTTCTGGTTCTAGCAATTTATTGTCATAGATAATAAATGGTTTTTTTTGTTCTGTTTTGTTTTTTTGCTCTTTTAGAGACAGGATCTGGCTATGCAGTTCAGGCTGGCTTTGCGTACACTTTGTAGCCCAGGCTGATCTCAGTCTTACAGCAATCCTCCTCCTGGGTGCTTAGACCATATTAATTTCATTGATTTACTTTGATCTCACTTTATTCCAAAATGCCTATAAGGTGACTGCTTCATTCTGTAATGAAATTGCAACAAGCTGACCAGGAGTTGAGATGAAAAATAACTTTAAGGCCTCTAAACTCTAATTTCACAGCACACATTTGAACTCTAGAAACATTTTAATTCTTTGTGCTTCACAAAAGATAGTTTCATTTATAAATAGTTGCTGAACTTTTGTGTTGGTTTTAATGGGACTTTTTCCTTCTCCTTGTATAGTAGCTAATGTTTGCCACTAGGCGGCAGCAGAAACCAACTCACGGAGGGAAAGGGGCTCTTCCGGAGCTGGGCTCTTCAGTCGGCCTGCTTTTCATGGGGCCGGACCCACCTCCCTGCTGTCCTTGAGAGCGTCGCCCACTCTCTCCCTCAGGAAAGGGGCAGCTTGGGTGGTGAGGTGATATTTTCAGTTCGGTGGGTTCACATGGGGGAATTTGGCTATATCCTGGTCAGAGAACTAGAAAAGGCCACCACTGGGATGGCCTGGGAACAGCCTGTCTGCTTCTCCACCCCAAAGGGTCTTCCTTTGAGATCCCTGGACACGGCACAGAGAAGGGAGGATCCCAGACCGGGGGGGGGGGAATGGGGGAGAGGCCGGAAGAACCGTGCCCATCACCACCCTACAGAGCAGAGTTGTGCCCCAGCTCACAGCCTTGGGTCACCATCCCCAGTCCCCTCCTCGCTGCCCACGTGAGCGGGCTGGATGGCAGCCCGGAGCTCACCCGCCTGTGTGGACTTCCTCCGCGCCTTCTTGATGTCCTCTTCTGTCTTGTTGCTCAGCTTGATCTCCAGCTGCTGGGTCTTCATCTCCAGGTCTCTCTGCCGCTCGGTGAGGGCTTTCCGGGCCTGCGGGGCCAAAGACAGGAGGAGAATCTGCTCAGAAAGCTGAGGGCGCATGGTCCAGCCTCCCTTATCTTGAGAGGAGTTTTTAATCTATGCGTGGGTGTGGACACCAGCACCATGGGTCCGAGGGCCACCACTCGTTTGTGATGCTGCAGAGGCTGCTCTGTCTCTTCCTGCTTGAATGTGACTTAAACCAGTCCCTCAGGCCTTGTTTTCATGGGGCACACATGGACCCGAATTGGGGACAGAGGAGGCACTGCCTCCAGGATTGGAAGGGACCACTGAAGCCATTCCCGTGGTGCGTGGCAGGCTGGCCGTACCAGCTGCTTCCTTCCTTAGCCTCAAGCCTCAGGCTCCCCTGGCAGTGCCCTCCGTCCTCCTGCTGGGCCGCCAGGGGTTCGCCTCCACCAGCCACCTCCTCCAGCTCCACAGTCATGTGGTGCAGGCTGCCAGCTGGGTCTCAGATGGCTCCTCCTGCTCTCTGGGGCCTGGGGCCAGCTCCTGGACAGAGCCTTCTTCCTCCCCAAGCTGCCCGCCGGCCAGCCAGTGTCCTTCCCAGTTCTGACCCCCTGCAGGGAGAGATGCTGCTGCGCACACGGAAGGGGTGACTTGGTCGTCATTAGGGAATCTGCAGGTGAAGCCCTGGCACAGCGGCACGCTGGGCTCTGTGGCCACAGAGAAAAGGGCTGCTGGTCTCAGGTGCTCCCAGAGGTGCCGCTGCACCCGATCCTCTCCTTGCTTCCATTGGCTCTCAGGCCACAGGAAGAGGCTCCTACCTGTCCCATGGAGGGGTGGGAGTTCTCGGATAGGGGCTAGAGACTTGGATCTCCTCCCGCCTTCCACCACACAAGGCCCCTCCACAGTCTCAGCACACACCCTCTTCCCGTGGAAGCTGCCAGACCTGCACCTATCCAGCACAGCCCTGGCCTCTCACCTTCTCCACCGAGGCATAGCGGCTGGCAAGCTGCTTGCGGAGGTCCGCGATGTGGTGGTCACACTTTTTCATGTCTTTCTTGAAGTTCTCTCGGAAGTTCATCAGGGGCTTCTCTACCTCACTGTGGAGCTGTGGAGGAGGGTGGAGAGGACACGTTCAGGGGCCTGGGCATCAGGGAAGGAGAAGATGGGCTGAGGCCTGGCTGAACAGGAAGACTGGACATGAGGGACGAGTTATCCCATCTCAGTTTATAGCGATGGGGTGAAGGGTGAGGGTGCACAGCACGGCCACCCCCCATCAGTAACTCCTTCCTCCTCTAAGCTTCTGCAGCTGCCTCTCTTAAAATTTTTATTTAAAAACTTTTGTTGTATATATTTATGGTGCATTTCACAAAATGTTTTGAAATACACTCACATATCATTTAGCGATCATGCTGTTCTAGGCAACATGGTTGGGAGATTTTGTCATCATTTGAACATCACGGAGTGTACTCCTCAGACTAAAATGGAGATGCAGTCACTGGGCAACATAAGCTTGAGGGGCCCTCACTGTACATGGCCTGCCACTGCCAGGAATGTCCTTAGGCAGCCACTCGCTGCCAGCATAGTATACACGGTGTTATGGAGAAATCTGGCTGAGTAACAAATATGCAACCTCTACAGTTATTTATGTCCACAGCCTCTTGCACGCTTTTTAAATTAATTTTATTTTTTTTAAGTATTTGGTTGTTACATGGTCTCACTACACAGCTCAGACTCACAGGGATCCTCCTGTTTTCAGCCTCCCCAGTGCTGGGATTACAGGTGTGCGCCACCACACCCAGACTCTGTGGCTGCCTCAGCCTGCCCTGGGGGCTGGACCAGCATTGCATGTGGTGCTGGGGATAGAACTGCAGTCCCTGCACTTGCCTAATCTTGCCTAACCAGATGCTTTAGTCTGCTCAGCTATCTCGCCGGCCCCCGACTTGCACGGCTTTACTTGGCTTTCCCTCTCTTACTTTCCAACCTGACAGCTTTCTGGAGACTGAAGTCATGTCACCTGTCTATGTCCCCAAGCACGTATTATAGTGACTGCTGCATGGAGCTCAATAAGTAACTGTGGGCAGGCTGTCATTTCATTAGTTGATCTCTGATCATTTCTATTTATTGATCATCTGCTGTGTCCAGGTTCCTGGAATACAAAACTGATATGGACATCATCTAAGCCTCGGTAAACTCGTGCTGGGAACTGCTGGAGCTCCCCAGCGCAGCCTCCACCTGTCCTGGCGGTGTCTGCAGGAGTATGGTGTGGCTTGCCTGGATAGATGACACCCCAGCTTGGAGACTGTGAATCCCCTCTTCTCCTCCTCCCTAGGCTCCTGCAGCATTGTCTTTTTCTGTGGTGACCACAGGAACTTAAGGACTCTTATATGGAGCAACTGACTTAGATATGGAAGTACCACATGGTCAGGGCCACGTCCAAGTGATCACATCTCGCTGTAGTGTCCATCCTGAGCTGGGGCAGGACAGGTGACCCCTTACTACTTATACAGAGTATGACATTTCAGTGCCCAATTCCCTGGGTGACAAGAAGATAATTTTGCTGTTGAAACACCATCATAAACTAACAGAAAACTGGTTATCCAGATGCCCCATGTCTCCTGAAACTGGCTGTGAATGGTTCTTATTTTATTTACCCCCCCAACCATCCTCATGTAGGAAAACATCCCCATCTGCTGGAAGTTTATAAAATACCACTTGAGTTCTCCTAAGTAGAAATTTCTTTCCCATTACCACGGCTTGAATGTGTCCCCTAAGTTTCATGAATGAAAAACTTCATTCTCAAATTCATATGTCAACAGTTTTGGGAGATGGGACCTGTGGTTTGTAGTGGATTAGATGAAGTCAAGGGGCGGGACCCCTGGGATAAGACAGGTGGCTTTGAAACAAGAGACCTGAGCTGACTCACACTGGCTCTGTCTCATCACATGATGTTGTCTACCACCTTCAGAAACAGCAGGGCCCCTCACCAGATGCTGACCTCTGGATCTTGGCCTTCCGGGTTCCACCGCTGTGATCAACCTACACTTCTATTCTTTACGAAGTACTCAGCTCTAGTATCCAGCTATAGCCAAAGACAAAAGACTAAGACACGGTGATCTGGATCAGGCACTTGCCGGGTGGGAGGAGCTGCATAACTTAGCTGCCATGGGAACCAGCTCCTCGCTGGGGTCTGTGAGGGTTCATTCATCCTGCTGGTTCAGAAACGCTGGGATCTGTTGCTAAGGGGCTGGAAAGCAAATGCTTCCAGGGCTCTATGTATCAAGGTCAGCTTCTCACCAGGGAGGTTCCTGGGTACCTCCGGATCTGTCGCATGGGAGATGCCCAGAAATCTGCCAGGATACTGAAAGGTTTCCCCAAATGCTAAATGACATTCTGGAAACATCATGCTACTAGATAGCAGAAATGATTCAATTCCCAGGATAAAAGGCCACCTCTCTCTATATATACACTATTTTTTTTTAAAGACATGAATATTTTTCCTTTAAAAGAGCTGATTTAAATAAAAGAGTTGGCTTAGTATGTTTTAATACTCACCCCTAGCTTGTAAGCATCTTTGCCTACTGAGGGAATCAGAATTCCGGGACATGTGTCTTTCTTTGTGGACAAGGGACGAGTCTGACCTGCACTGGATGGACCAGCCTTCGGGGCAGATGTTTCCTTTCCAAAGCTCTGCTCTTTTCACTTCCTCTATTTTTGCATCACACACAAAAACGGGTAGAATAAATTCCAAGTTGGAAGAACTTTAAAGACCGTCTAGTCGGACTAGAGGGTTTTCACATGGTGGGTGGCTAGGAGTTGTGAAATCCACTTCGTGGGTCAGGGCCAGCTTCTAGTGAGAATGGACCAGGCTTGGAAAGAAAATGTCACAGTGCATTTTAGAAAGAGAAGCAGCGCTGTGTCATGACAGGCTGGCTTTGGGTGTGTACATGTGTGACCATCTGTGAACAGACATGGAGTACATGTGCCTGGGTTTGTGTGTTCCGGGTGACCACATGAAGTGCATTCCTGTGGACAACAGGCATGTTGAAAGCCACTGATCTGTCCAAAGTCTTCTTTTCACACATGAAGAAAGAGAACTGCATGGGGCTATATGGTCTGCCCAAGATTAGAAAGCTTGTTAGCAGGACTGAGCTAAAACTCCCCGCCCAGCCTCCTCCACGGCCCAGAATCTTCTGACTGAATGCGCAGCTCCAATGCATGCTTAGAGATTCTCCCATCAGAAGGAATTTTTCTATTTTCCCTTTTTCTACTTGAGTCAGGGACAACTTTCTTTGAATTTAGCAATCTCATTTCTTTAGCAACCTGTTGCTATTAGCTGGGAAGATTATTGTTTTTTAAAAAATGCACTTCTTAAAGAGAAGTTTTATCCTTGACACTGGAGGTGAAGAATGGAATTTCAATCAGCCTTTTGGAGCAGGTATGAAAATGGGTTTTGTGCACAGGGGGCCTTATTACCCATAAATCCCTGGAGTCCTTTCTTCTCAAGGAATTGCCAGGAGGCTACCAGGCTGCCTCTGTGATGCTCTGAGGCGACCGGCACTGCTGGCCAGGCTAGAAGCACAGAGGCTCCTGTGGAAAAGCCTGTTATTGCTTTTATGCAATTATTCTTCACAAGCCATCTGAGGGCTACCTGGCGCTGTCTGTACCACCTCCCAAACATGGTGAAAAACAGCACAAGCCTGCTCAGGGCAGCCTGTCCCCTGCTGTAGGCCCTCCCTGGGGACAGAGTGCATTTCAGGAGCAGGGTTCTATAGTTCTGTTTGTTTATGACATAGGGGATGGAACCCAGGGCTTTGCATACTAGCAAGCATCCTGACACTGAACAGCACCCCCAGTTTCAGGGTCCGGTGTTTTTAGATGTTGCTGGTCTGTTGGGGATGGGGTGAAGTCAAACACAGGTCTAGGGATCCAGCATGCTATTTGTTTCTCTCTCCTCTGCTTCTTCCCTGGCTGAATCCACACAGCGGTATGGCCAGGGCTGTACTTTAATCTCTCTCCTTTGTCATTTATGAAATGGGGTTGCTGTCACGCATGGTGGTTGATAAATCCAAGCGATGAATTACATCCTGTACACTTCCTCAATCACTACCGCAAGTACCTGCTAAACAGTGTCAGCAATCAGAATTAGGGATCCGCCTAAATGCCAGCAAGATTCCCAGAAACCCAGCAGGCAAAGCATCCGGAGGCTCACAGATCTGGCTCCTGAACCATTCATCTCCTCAACCACTGGAGAGCCAGCCACTGCAGCAAACAGCACTGCCCGGAGTTCGGACAGAGGGAGACCTTAGGGGGACACTGCCCATGCGCTGCAGCTTAAGTGTAACTTGCTGCTTCATTGAGCACAGGAAGGACAGCAATCATGCAGTCCCTTCTCTGCCAGGGCTTGAGTAGTAATTTGCTCATGAAGGACTTGGAATATTGAGGGGAGTGTGCTATAGGAGCTGCAAATTCTCACTTCTGAGTGTCGACACGATCTTGGGCTCTCAGTCCTTTAGAAGGAGGAGCTGGTAATAGCACCATTCTCTCTCCCACTCCTGCTCTTTACAAAGCTCTCTCATCCCACAGGCCATGTGACTTTCTCCATAGCAAGAAAGTATTCTTTGTAAAGAATACAGGCTTATGCAGAACCAGCTCTGGAAGTTGGGAAGGCCAAGATCCAGAGGTTAGCATCTGGTGAGGGCCTCTGCTGTTTCTGGAGGTAGTGGACAACATCATGTAGCAAGACAGAGCCAGTATGTGTCAGCTCAGGTCTCTTCTTACAAAGCCTCCTGTCTCATCCCATGACTTCATCTAACCCACTACAGACCACAGGTCCCACCTCCCAATACTATCGATGACATGAATTTGAGAACAAAGCTTTCTGTGTATGGAAACTGACAAACACCACAAGCTGGAGAGACCGTCCTATGCCGGGTATCAGTGCATCCCTGTGTGTGCCAGAAGAAAGGGGTTACCTTGGCAGAGAACTTGAGGTGAACTTCCGCTTCATCTGCAAGGCTCTTCTTCACCTGGGCCCAGGCTTCTCCCAGGGAGCTGCAACAGAAAAGAGACTCTCAACTAGGGGGCCCAGGGAGGGCCGTGTCAACCTCAGACCCAAAGCCGCAGCCCTTCCTAACATGGGAGGGTGGTCTCAACCCCACGTCTTGGGTGAGGTGTAGACCACCCATGGTTTTGAATTTGGATGGGGCAGAGGCCAGGTACCAAGCATCCACAGAGCTGAATTGAGTTACCAGAGCCACAGAGAGTCACCTCAGCTTTGTTAGGGACAGGGTTATAGTTCAGTGGCCCAGCGCCTGCTGGCAATCACGAGACCCTGAGTTCAATTTCCAGTATCAAGAAGAAAAAAGTGGGCTGGAGAGATAGCTTGGTGGTCTAAGTGCCTATCTGGCAAGTGCAAGGACCTAAGTTCAATCCTTGGTACCGCATGCCATGCCGGCCCTGAAATCCCGGGTATGTCACGCATGGTGGTGCACACCTGTAATCCCTGTGCTGGGCAGGCTGAGACAGGAGGATAACTATGAGTCCGAGCTATGTAGTAAGACCCTGTACCAAACAATTAAATAAATAAGTAAATTTTTAAAAAGAAAAAGAAAAAAAAAATCCTTGCTCTGTTAACTAGGGGAATAAACCATAGAAGAATAAACCAGGCTGGGAAGCAGAGGAAATATGCAGAATCCAGAGGCTCGCAGGACTGAGGGGTGTGCCAGAAGCGAGGGCCTTGACCCCTGGTTATGACTGTCCCCAACACCTTCCATCACCACTCCAGGCCTGCTGGTGAAGGGTGCCAATGACTGCTGGAAATGCTGACAGTTCAAGAACTGGAAATAAATTCATTTTCAGGGAGAAGCCCTTCTCAAACAGGAGGTACCTAGCAACCACAAGGACATCTCCAGCACTGGGGCTTCCAGGAGAGGCTTCGATAGGCCGTGGCCTCGGGACATCACATGCACAGCTCTGCAAGGAGAAGCCCCCACCCCACCCTGGAAGAGAGACTCCCCTAGAGCATGGCTTCTGGGCTGTATACCTAGCCCTGCTCACAGCTTGTAGGACAGGAGCCACGTCCCCTGAGCTAAATCACCTGTCCACTCCAAAGAAAGGGGCTTCAAGCAGAAGACTCGGCCTGCGGGTCCAGCACGCTGAAAGGAAAGCCCTTACAAACCGCAGTCTCTATTATCTGAAACTCGGTGACCATTCAAAACGATGCCCATGTCTCCTGTTCCTGACCCCTTCAGCCAATCAGTAAACCCAGGCTGAAAGTTTAGTTGACTTAATTTCATCAAAAAGCTGCTTCCTCCAGAGAATTCATTAAACTTGAGTGGCAAAAGCTGATTAAGACAGCTGGCTGTGATGGGTTCCAAGCCCAGAGGCCAGCCAGCAGCTAAGAATTATCCAACAAAGCAGAATGATCGCTCTGATCGCAGTCCAGGCCTGCCTGATGGGGCTGCTGGCTCAGGCCATGGCGGGTGTTTACTGGAAACAACCAATGGACTTTTATCTAGGAGTCGGGCAGCAAAGAAAACCTCCCGGGCGGGCGGCTATCAGTGCAGGCTGGGAGTGAGTCTGCAGCAACTCAAGCTGTTGACATCTGCCTTGGCCTAAGTGGCCTGGGCTCCCAGAAGCTGCTCCTAGACTGTGCAGGCCTTCTGGGCAGGCTGGTGATCACCTGATTTTGCAGGTGGGGGAAGGCCCAGGTGGGGAGGGGCACAAGCAGCCATGCAGTTACACAGATCAGTGGAACGGAGCACAAAGTCATGGTTTGACTGAGTCCCCACAAAACCCATATTGCAACCTTAATGCTCAATGGGACAGCACTAAAAGACAAGGGACCTTTGAGACACTAGGCCAAGAGCCATCCTCATGAAGGGACAGAGGTTCACAATGAAATGGCCATGGGCTGGCTCCCTTGAAATGTGATGCCCTGTCATTTGCAACACAGCAAGAAGGCCCTCACTACATGCCAATCCCCAGTCATGGTCCTGCCAGCAGCTAGAACTGTAAGAAATTTCTTACAAGTTTCCCAGATGGTGGAATTCTCTTATGGACTAAGACACAGCATGACACAGATGTGGCTCCCTGACATCCAGTAAAGTTCTCATTAGGGTATTTCAATGGGGGAAAGGCTGGGCTCCCCTCCTTCTCTCTGTTTTTCAGTGCTGGGGATGGAACTTAGTGTCTTATGCATGCTAGGCGAGTGCTCTGCTACTGAACTACACTCCCGCCCTCTGACAGACTTTCTAACAGAGATAACCTTATATCTAGATGGAAGGGAAGAATCTTGGCTCTTGCCTCTTGCCATACACACAAATAATCTCAAGGTGGATTCCATCTCTAAAGTGGAAGTGCACACCAGACACGGCTTACAGTGGCTGTCTGAGGGGGTGGCGAGGGGTTTTACCCCTGTGGATGAACAACACTGCAGCTGCAGGAAGTCCAAAGAAGAGCTGAAGAGGCCAAACAAAGGCCCTTGGAGGGCAAAACAGTTTCTTCTACAGAGCTGGAGTCCACTGTCAGCAGAATACAGGGGAAACAACCAGCCAGAGTCATGCATGGTTGCCCAACAACCTTAGCTCAGGGGTTAGGAAGGACAGGGAAAAACACTGTCTCCACGAGGAGGCTTTCACCTCCAGGCGGGAATCCCTGGGGGTAGAGCATGGGGGGTAGAGTGCAGTGTTCCTGACACACAGGAGGGCTCCTCTGCGCCAAGGCAGTCCCCAGACACTGCCCCTCTCCAGGATTCCAAGCCCTTTGAGCCACTTCACAATGTGTAGAAACATCCGCTAAGCTCTGCTAACGTGTGCAGTGAATATATGCATTCTGAATTACTCAGAAACAAAATAATTATAGAAAATTTTAGAAGAAACTCCCTTTTAGAAATTCTTTCATTCAGTCAGGTCTAGTGCGCAACTATAATCCCAGCACTCTGGGAGAGAGAGGAAGGAGGATCACAAGTTCAAGTCCAGCAAGTCAGTGTGACCCTATTTCAAAATAAATAAAATTATAAAGGTGTTGAGGGTGGGGCTTAATTGCAAAGGCCCTGGGTTCAATCCCTAGTACCAAAAAAAAAAAAAAAAAAAAACCTCCTTCTCTCATTTGAAGATAGTATGTCATAGCAGTGTCTATATACAAAAACAGAATTCTATACCAACATAGAGTTTGAGGCACACAAAATCAAGATGAATATTGTCATCAAAATTGCTAACCAGGAAAGACCACAGTCCCATTTCCCTTCCACACAAGAGTGGAACACCAAATGCAGAAATAATCTAATTCTGTGTGTCCACCAGCACCCACACTTCTGTGAATGTAATCCCGATGATGCTCGGGTTACACACAGCTCCACTCAAGCCCTCTCCATTAGCATCTTCCTAGGCCGGCCCTGACTGCTTGGCTCCAGCACGGCACTTTGCAACTTTTCAAGATAGACTGGGTTAAAGGTCCCAAGCCGTGCATAAATGCAAAATATCACCACGGAGCACTGTGTGGACAGGGCGCGGTGTTCCAGCTGAGCACTTGCTGGTAGGAGTGTGCAAAGGGAGAGTCACTGTGTGTGTGTGTGTGTGTGTGTGTGTGTGTGACGGACGGCTGCACACATGGACAGGTGAGTGGTGAGTGTGTGCACGTGAGCTCGTGCGTGTGTCTCTGTGTCTGTACGTGCATGTGTGCTCAGCGTGGTGGTGCGGGCCTGGCATGTGGAGCTGGGCCGCTCGGGTGAGGAGCATATGCGTGTGTGTTGGCAGGACACAGTGTCCTTGGCAGCAACCCAGCCCGAGGAGGTGGAAGCCGCAGACTCTAGAGCAGCACAGTGGTTGCAGGGCACAGGGATCCTCAGGAAAACTCCTCTGCAGACAGTGGGGGCTGCATCCCACGCGCCCTCTCCCGGCTCCAATGAACATAAAACCACTGTGGAGCAGAAGGGACCAAGACCTTACTAACCCCACTTATGCCTGGGAGAGACACTGGCCCTGTTGGGCCACCTGGTGGTGTGTGGCTGACTTGGCTGCTGAAAGCCATTTGGGGGGAGGGAGAGGGGGTGGGAGGGGAAAAAGGGAGGGGAGAGGGAGGGGGGGGAGGAGGAGGAGGAGGAGGAGGAGGAGACGGCGGTGGCTTGGCTGTACAGTCAGCCCCTGTAGAGGCCTTAAGCAAAGCCACACTCGTATGGTGAAATTTCTGTCCCATGAGGGATTTCAGGCCATGAAAGCAGATTTGTATTTTCCTAACATCACAGCTCTGATAACACAGCCATCCTTTGACAGAGACATCTTCCTTCTCAGGGATCACTGCTCCTCATAGGAGGAATTAAAAACACAGGGTGGGCCTGAGAGGAAGGTGTGAATAGAGAGAGGTCCCCTGGGGATCTTTCTAATTCTAACTTCTGAGAATCTTCACTGTTATTGTTATTGTGGTGAAACTCACGTAACGTAAAATCAACCAAGTTAATGCAACACAACTGATCCGGCAGCACTCAGGAAATCCACACTTGCGCAACACCCCCACCTGCTTCCAAAACCCTTCCATCACCCCATCCTCAAATGAGAGTCTGTGTTATCCTCCCCTGACAAATTCAGATGTTAAAGCCTTTATTTGGGTTGGGGCATTTAAGTCAGTAATTCAGGTGAAAATAAGACCACTTCTTAAGGCGGGGCTGCTGTCAAGAATATAAAGGTTAATCATGGGCCCCTAATCTGATAGGATTAATGTCCCTATAAGAAGGAACAGAATACGCTATGTCTCGCTGCCCAGAACTCACACAGGTTGTACCATGACAAGGTGGCCATCTATAACCCAAGAGCCGAACCCTCACTAGAACCCAGCCCTGCTCATACTTTGATCTGGGATGACCAGCCTCCAGAACTACGGGAAAACAATCAATGCTTGCCAATCTGTAGTGCTCATTATAGCAGCCACTGAAGACCAATACACACCCTTAAAGGAAATAAGCGCTCATCATGCTATCAGTCCCCAGACCCCACTCCCTCAATGCCTTGGTAACTATCACTTTGCCATCTGTCTTGTCTCCACGGCTTTGCGTATTCTAGATGCTTCATACAAATGGAATCATACACTTTGTGACCTTTTCCCATTTCACTCCTTTCACTTAGCATAAAGTTTTTAGGGTTTGTCCAGACAGCAGTGTGCATGAACATTCCAGTCTTCTGTACTGCTAAACAACACTGCCTACAAATATCTATGGATATCCACTGGGCATGAGGCACAATTTGTATTTCCACATATTTTGATGACATTTGGATGGTTTCCACCTATGTTCATTGGACACAGGACTGCTCTGGATGTGCTTGTTTGGCTCCCTGTTGTCATTTCTCTTGGATATAAACCTAGAAAGGAATATCTGGGTCATGCAATAAGTCTCAGCTGAGCTTTCTGAGGTCCTGTCAGACTGCTGTTCACAGTGGCTGTGTCATTTAGCACACTTGCCAATGGCGCATGGGGCTGAGATACAGTAGAGAAGACTGCAGTCTCTCTTCCACTAGGAATTCTTCTGTGGCTAGAAGAATCAGGCTGAGTGTTTCCCAATCCAGGCCTCATCCACAGAAGTCTAGACTATCATGGCAGGGGTGCAGGGAGCCTGGGCCTCATGCCCCATAGAGCTGTAAGGGGCTGATATGAACTCTTTTCAGACTTGGCTTCCTCCCTCCAGCCTACCCTCCCAGAAGCCATGTTCTGGGTGGGTGTAGCCAACCTATGAGGGGACTGGGGCCCCTGATACACTGCAGCACTTGGCTGGTAGCACAGAGTCCCAAGAGAGAAGACAATGTGGAGATGTCCTCCTGGAGCACTGACGCCTATACATCAAGCCACAGGCACCAACTGAAGCTATGAGCACCCACCTGAACCAAGAACATGCACCTTGAGTTATAAACACCCATTTTGAACCATGAATACCTGCCTTGAGCCACGGGCACCACATTAAGTCATCAAGAACCACATGGTGCTGGGAGGAGGCAACCTGAGCGCAGAGCCCACCTGGGGCCAGGTCTACGCAGAGTTTCCCACTGAAAGAGGGTCTATGCCAGTGGTCAGTGGTGAGTGGAAAAGGATCACTTCTCCTCAGTGTCCTCTGGCCCCTCACCACTGTTCTCCAACTCACCCTTCTTCTTGTGCAGCCAGGGAATTCTGAGAGAGCTTAGCTAAGTTCTTTGCATATTCTTCTTCAATCTTTATCCTGTAAAGGGAGAAAGCATACCACTTGGGCTCTCCACTGCTAGCCCGTGGTTCCGATTTGCCACCCTGCCACACAGAAACTGTGTAAAGGAACCCAGTAGGCCACAATAGATCATAAACCCTGAGCACATGTGACTTCCATCTGTCTGCCAGACTCAGGAGGTGTTTAACACTTATTGAATAAATGAATGAAACTCCTCAGACTTCCATCTCTTCATCTGTGTGGGGAGATATTTCTGCCTGTCTCCACACTATGAAAGTGAGCCATGTCATTTGCACAGCTTTGAGCACAAGGCTGGATGCATAAGAGCCCTCCTATGAATGAATGCAGCGTGGCATGGTCCAGCAGGGATACCCAGTGTGTTCTCTGTCCCTTCCAGTCCAGAACTTTGGGTTCAGGTGCTCTAGGGTGGCCTTAGCCTCTCAGAAGCAAGAACAGAACATCTCTCATGGTCTCCATCGCCAAAGCCTCTAATTGCCAAGTATTATTAAGGGCATGGGTATTTCCATGGAAACCAGATAGTGCCCAGAACTGCAGCTCAATTCTATTTCCCCGGAGAGGGCTACTGCCTTGGATACAGCTTCCATCAGGCAGGCCTCGACTCACTCTCAGAGCCACTGAGTGGGGATTGTTGGTGTAATCGGGCACATTATGTTAGGTGCGCCACCAAAGGCGATGTTTCCCTGCTAAGTGCTCCTTTGGGTGTGGTAGGAGGCAGAAGATTTGTACTTAGCACAACCAGCGCCAGCCGGGAACTGGTACATGTGCTACCCGTGCGAGCACAGGCCATGGACCCTAGAGAGCCCCTGGTGTGGGGAGAAGAAAAGCTCTGAGAGCCGAGGGCTGCAGAGCTTGCTCCCGGCTTGCTCAGGCAGCCATCCGCAAAGGGTGCAGTGACACAAACAGGGTGATGACCGAGGCCCAGTGCCAGCATCTTGAATAATAACTGGTGTAGGACTGGCTGCAGAAACATGCAATGCTCATCTTCCTCCTCCTGCTTTATGTTCTTGCCTCCACCTCTGGCCAGTATTGTGGCTCTCCAGAGCTTACCACTGACTTACCTCTCACCTCTGCCGCTTCCTCCCCATTCCCTCTGGTTTCACCTCCAGCCCTCCCCAGGAGGACCTGGACTCTATCCCCAGACCATGGCCAAGATCTTTAGAAACAGGTTAGCCATGCCATGATGTCAACGGTGGGCAGCAGGTGCAGGTAGTGTGTGCGCCATCTGCCTCTTGGCTGCCATCTCTGGAGCCAGCTTGTGTCACTTCCACCCATGGTCCAACCTCCAGGCACACTCCCTCCTCTGCACCTGCCCACTCACCTCTTCTATTTTTTATTTTTTGGTGGTACCAGGAATTGAGCTCAGGACCTTGAGCTTGCCAGACAAACACTTATTCCACTGAGCTATCTCTCCAGCCCCACTCCCTCACCTCTTATAGCTCAGAAAGGCCTTTCCCCCCATGGGGCCCCAAGGTAAACTGAGGAAAGATCCTGAAATCTGCATTTGCTTGGAGAGGACCACGTATTTGCTGCCATAACGCCATGATGGGTGTAAACCACACACATGGTCAGGCTTTGGCTCAGACCACCCTGTCATATTTGCCTGCTTTATCATTGTGTTTTCTTGCACCTGAACAACGCAGCCTTCCAATTTCCCACCAGCTTAATGGGACATAAAACAAAGATTTGATTATACAAATAGAAAATTGGCCTCCTAAGGAAAAGGGTGCTTTAGAATGCCAAAGCATTATTACCTGATTATTGTTGTTATAATGAAAAGAATTGTTTTTCAAAGACATTGTCATTTGCTATGAGTATTGGTAGCAGGCCTTGGAAACTAGTTGGAAAATTGTGCTCACAGGCATGTGTGCAGGTGTGCAGGTGCATAGCTGAGTGTGCACTTAGCAGATTCCCAGGATGTGGAGAGAGAGAAAGAAGGTGGAGCAAGGATTTCTGTTCTGTCCTGTTCTGTTTTGTTTAGTGTAGTTTTACTTATTTCTGTTGGGCTGAATTTATTGTTTCTTTATCTATGTTCCCAAGCTCTTCAGTCAAGTTACTGCTATAATCTTTTGTGATGGGAGATGCTTTCATATCCTTTGGCCTGGGACAGTTTTGGTTCATAGATGAACTGAAAGGTGCCATTCCTCTCCCAGTAAGGGGCAGGGATTCAAATGAAGGCAAGGTAGGCAGTAGTGGAGCAGAGCCATCTGTGAGGGAATTACAAGGGGTGATGAAGACTGTAGGAAACTGGGAACCTGTGTCCTGCCCACACGGTAGCTGCCTCTTGGCTCCAGCCAACTGCCGCATGTGGAGTCCATCCCTACAGTGCTGTGTTCTCAACAGGTGCTAGGTGTCCTGATTGTAATGTAAAAATCTCCCAGTATTTTTTATTTTAAATCTTTACGAATGCTAGATAGGCCAAAGCTATACACCAGATCTGTCCTGGGGCCAGGCACCTGGGACTCCAGTCTTACTCTCCCCTTAGCACCATCCAGGTGGATGTGGGCTGTTGGGTCTTTCTGTTGACTTCCTGAGGAGAGGTTGAGGTGAGCCCTGCAGCCAGTGCCCAGAGCTGGCAGGATCCAGGCCTTACCTTTCCCTGATGAATTCAGACATCTCTTTCTGCATCTGTTTGCCTTTCAGTTGCTTCTGGAGCAGCAGTTCAAAGCCAGCCACTGTGCCATTACCCTGGGGGTCCTTCTTATCCGCCTAGGAAGGAAACAGAACTATCTGGTGTCTGGAGCCAGGGACAAGGACACACAGGGAAGTGAGAGCCCAGAAAGGCCCCAGGTTTGCCTGGCAACCCTGACCCCAGCTGAGGACGTCTGGAGTGGTGGTCTGTACCATATGTCCTGCAGCCCAGGCTGCTGATGCACTTTCTGACACCTCCGAGGCCCAACCTGTCCTCGGCACTCATGCGTCAGGAATCTTAGTCCCCCGCAGGAACCTGCTGAGGTGGGTTAGGAGGGCTCTGTCTTCTGGGATGGGTTAAGGCTGTTTCTACGGCAACCCCACCGCTGTACATGCAGTGTGGCCCCGCTGGCTCTCTCTTGCCTGATCCTCTCTGCCACGCGCTGACGTGGCAGGCAGACCCTCACCACATGCCGGCACCCTGGCTGCAATGGCCCAGCCTCCACCACTCTGAGCCAGGTTTCTGTCTGTGACACATTACTCTGTCTCAGGTGTGCTGTGACAGTGGTGCACAGCAGACTGACATTGATGTATAAGCTCTGGAGTTGCTGCCACCCTGCCACCCCCAGGCCCAGTCCCCTTACTGCTTCCAGCCTCTGGATAAGAAGAAGAGCAAGCAGCCACAACCCAGGCTCTCCTGCTCGGTGGTGGCAGATCCATAGCACACGTGGTGCTGTGCTTATAAGACAAAAGACATTAATGCATAAGTTGCTTTTTCTAAACTAAAGCCCAGTATTCAGGTTTCTTTGCAATAAACAAGTGGGTTCTGGGTTGCAGTCACAGAAGGCCCAGGACTTCTGATGGATGGCTCCTGCAGCTATCTCAACCTCCTGGGAATCCTGCCCTTCCCATTTGAAGCTGGGAGAGTTTGTGAGTGACCCTGGGGCCAGATGCCTCCACCCTTCATGCCATCCTGTCTTCAACCAGGTTTCTATACTTGGGACTCAGGCAGTAACATCCTCTTATACACAGTCATAAAAAGTTATGGCCTAAAAAAATAAAAAGATCCTAGGGGTTGCTGAGGAGAAACTGGATTGGAGGGGAGTCGGTAGAAAATGATTGGCTGGCAGGACTAAAAATCTGACAGAGTGACCTCGGATAGTCCTAGATTCATCTCTGACTGTGCTTCTTTACCTGAAAAGTAGGAAGATCCTGAGATAATCCCCTAGAGTCGCTGTGGCATAAAGGATATATATAAATGACACATGGGCATTTCAGAATATATGCTACCTGCTCAGCCGAGCTCTAAGAAGTAAATACACAGTGCCCATCATCAGTAACTTAGAATAAACAGCAAGACATAAGGAAGATGGCCAAGTCATGAAATGGGACAGTAGGACTCAGCTCATTTTGCAAGCAAATATTCCTAAAATTCCAAACTGAAGGCCAGACCTGGTGTTGTACACTTATAGACACAGTCCTTGGGAGGCTGAGGCAGGAGGACTGCTGCAAGTTCGCGGCCAGCCTGGGCTACACAATGAGTTAAGGGCAGCCTGAACTGCATGGTGACACCAAAAGAAATGATGTTTGGTTTTACCTGTGCTTCCTTAAGCACCTGGACACCTTTCCTGTCCTTCCCTACCTGCCACACATCCTGGCATCTCTCTCCATAAGGCTGTGCTGCTGGACAGCCCACTTACAGCTGTCCTAGGTCCCTGGCTGTCACCTGGATTAAGCAGCATTCTCCTGCTCGCAGCCTCTCCCCATGGGGAACCTGAGGTTATGTATTTCAATACTTAATGGAAGGACTTACGATAAGCTCCCAGTATTACAGAGAACATTGTTGCTCAGAACAATGCCCCAGTGTCCCCAAAGACCCAGGTTCCCATCTCTGCTCAGCCACGAGGTCCTTTGAATCCTAGCCCCTGCCCCTTGTTACCATGCCCTTGCGAAAGAAATGGGCCACATCTCTAGGACCCCTTTTGGATCAGACATCTAGAATGAAGAAAAGAAAGGGGATGTGGAGGTTTGCAGAGAACCCTACTTACAAGTCGAGCTATAAAGGGTTTTCTAGATACCTCCGGGTCCTGTTCAAAGCAGTGTCCCTTCCTTTGTGGTCTTGACCTCTGAAGCCTCTGCCACAGTTATTTAAAAAATTATTCACTTTAGGGCCAGGGATATAGCTCAGCAGTATAAGCATCTGCCTGGCAAGCACAAAGTCCCAAGTTTGATCCCTGATACAGGGGGTAAAAAGACTTTAATGGGGACAAAATGCAAATAATATAAAATTCTACCATTGAAGCGTGCACATCAATGGCACTGAGCACATCACACGTTTGTGCATCTATGCCTGCCACAGAGCCTTTTTCAAGCTGCAAAAATTGTAAGTCTGTGCCCATTAAGCAACACGCAAACATCTGGAGCAGATGGAGATCTCCAGGGATCCTTGCACACAACCTCCTCATGACGGTGATGGAACAGCGAGGCTCGAGAAGGTGAAGATCCAATCCAAGGCTGCTTGCATCAGAGACAAACAAGCCTAGAGCCTAGTTCTGTTTCCTGAAGCTAATTTCTAGTCTCCTGCCCTTATTGAGCATTAAAGATAGTGACCCTCCCGCCTCCCGAACTCTGGTACGCTTTGGGGTTGCCATGAGCAAAACTCCTGCTCATTCTGAGGCCTGAGAAACGGTCTGCACTCCAGAGGCATCCCATTCCCATCTCAGATGCCAAACTGACGGGCAGGGCTTTGGGCTTCTATAGGAGAGATCTGGGCTAGGCAGATAGCTCAGCAGTCTCAGTGCCTACCTGGCAAGCACAAGGACCTGGGTTCGATCCCTAGCACCACATGCTGCGCCAGCCCTGCCCCTCAGGTGTGCTAAACCAGCCACCAAGTCCAACTGTGGTGGCACAAGCCTATAATCCCAGTGCTAGGGAGGCTGAAACAGGAGGATCACTACGAGTCTGAGCTGTGTAGCGAGATCCTGCACCAGATTCATAAATTCAAAACAAAATAAAACAAAATAGCAGAGGTCTCTCTACTTTGAGCTCAAGGTCCCTCCTGCTCCTCCCCGAGATGCACACTTGGTCATGAGGGCCATAGTGTGGGGAAACTGAGGCACTACTTACCCAGAAATAGTCGCAGTAGCTCCACTCTGTCGGCTTCAGCAACTGCTGTTCAGGCATTGTGTCTGGGTGAGGGAAGGTCACGCAGTTTATCTGTGGGGCAGAGAAGAGGAGGGGAACAATTGTTTGAGGATGAAGAATAGAAGAGGCCTTTTTCCTTGGGCAGATCAGTAATGAGGCTTCCCTTTGGGCCAGCTTGATGGACAGCACTGGGTTTTTCCTAAGCTTTGAATCCAATATTTCAAATAAAGGAAATGGGTGTACACACACACACACACACACACACACACACACACACACACACACACCAGCAATGAGGAGCTGCTGCGAGGTCTCTGGAGGGTGCCTTCATAGGCTCTATCCCTCTGCAAACATCTAGATCCTTCAATCTGGCAACTGCGCCTCTGAGAGTCTGCGCCCCAGATGAGCTGCCCGTGCGTGCAGGGACGCACGCTTATGGCTTTCTACAGCACTACCTGTGACAGCAAAGGCTAGACCAGAGCACTCCTTTGCCCACCCAGGGGGACGGGCAGAAAGAATACAAAACAGGCCAGCATCCAGGAAGTTGTAAAATAAAATGCTTATGTACTGAAAAGGAAAGTATACCAGGAAGTGTTGTCAGGTGAAAAGGAAGTGGGTGCTGGGTCTGTAGCTCAGTGACAGAGTGGTAGTCTAGCGTGTCAAGGCCCTGGATTCAATTGTCGGCACAGGAGAAAAAAAGGGGGGACAAGTAAAGAAAAGTCAGATGTAGAACAGCATTACTGCGTGCCTCTACTTGCATGAAAAGCTGAAAGTAGGAGCACATTTGGTTATTTCTGAAGGGTATATTTCTGGAAGATGAGAAGCATGATTTGATCCAAGAAAGGGGCAGTGGGATGGAAGGGTGGAGTGACCCTGAATAAGCAAGGGTCGCAGGCGAGAGGTTATCTCTGACACGTTTGTATTCTATGAACACCAACAGCTTCAGGTCACGAGCCCAGGTGCCTGCTTGGGGATGGTCCATGCCAGGGAAAGTCCAGAGCCATTTCTGGGTTGTCTCGGACTTTTTTCTATCCAGTATGCTCAAGGTGCTCCCTGCCTGTCCTCACTCTGTGACAGTGGCTTCAGCGTTGCTCCTGCTGATGTGGCTTCTCGAGCCTGAGCCTCCTCTCCCCGACCCTAAAACATCTGCTGAGGTGGAAGGTGGAGGCTAAGGGCAAGAGCCTTGGGTCAACTCCTGAGGGTCTGGGGACCTCATGCAAGCCTGTGAGGGGCCTACACATCACAGGAGCTGCAACCTGATCTCAGTGCAGCAAAACTCTGCTGCGAACAGGAGCTGGGGACCGCAGAGTCATGGACAAGGACAAGGAGCCCAGCATGGCCGAACTATGCAATGGCTGGGGGATACTCAGTGTCAGGTTTCCATGCGAAGTCTCATGATTCTTGAGTATAAGCAATTAACACAAGGGTTAGGATATTAATAAGCTTAAGTCCTCACAGACTTCGTTAGCAGAGTCAGGCCTAGGGACCTTCAGATGTGACCTCGGGCTTAGTGGTTTGAAGGTGGGTGGAAGTCAGCCCAGTATCCACCTCACCCCACCCTCACTGCAGCATTCCAGTGCAGGTTCTACTTGGAGTGTGGGGAGGAGAGGCCAGAAGTCCCTGCCAGAGGGTGGAACCCCTCCCCCTGGATGCTGATAGTGGGTGAGATGAGGTGGGGACCCTGCCCTGGAGAGAAATGTGACACGGTGACACAGTGGGATGCAGGATGGGAAGGACCCAACCCCTGGTCTGGGGAGTTCCCAAGGCTGGGGACTTCCCCTTGAGCTGCACGAGGTGACCCTGGCTAGCAGTGGCCAGCTGGGTGGGGGGTGTGGCCTCCATGCCCAGCCTCAGGATGTGGGCTCCCCAAGCCCTTGGGAGTGAGAGCACCATGGTATGATCACTGGTGAGTGTCTCCTTCAAGGCCTCAACGACCCCACTGCAGGGAGACGTGCAAGCCAATCGCAACAACAGAGGACCTACTTGCAACTTTTACATATGCCTTCTTTTTGTGTTCCAGGTATTCTTTGTATAGTAAATGATGGTGGTGATCATATTCCATCTTTATTTTGCTTCCAATGGGGCCTGTGACAATTTCAACCAAATGTGATGATACAAGAGCTATGACATTAAGGTACACTGGGTATGAAGAATTATGGAACTAGCAGACTGAAGGTATAGTTGTCCCTTGGTAGCTGGGAGGACTGGGTCCAGGAGCCCTGTGGATGTCTAAATTCCTGATGTACCGGTCTCATATCAAATGGCATAGTGTTTGCATATAACCTAGGTACAAGGGGCCGGGGAGATGGCTCAGTGGAATAAGCACTTCCCTGGCAAGTGCAAGGGCTTGAGGTCAATCCCCTGTTCCACCAAAAAAAAACCCCAAAACAAAACAAACAATCCCCCAGTATACTTTAAATCCCTAGGTTATTTATACTACCTAATATGATATAAATACTATGCATACAGTTATTATATTATATGGTTTAGGCAAAAACAATAAGAAAGTGATTGTATAAGTTTGGAACAGGTGCAATTTTTGAACATTTTCACCCCATAGATGGTTGAATCCATAAAGGCAGAATGCACAGGCCCAGAAGCAGGGTGTAAATGCCTTTCACAGTGCCTGTGTTCTATCCCTCACTCTCCCCTTTCTTCTTTCCTCATTCAAACAGCCCTTGGCCTTGACCTCTCAGGGAGGAAACAGGAGCTTTACAAAGAGAGGAGGCAGCTGGGCCAGAGGTGGCCAGGAGGGAAGAAGTGGGTCCTGTTCTGCCTTCTCCAGCGTCCTGCCTTAGGGAATCCACCTCGAGAAGGATGCCACTCCTCACCCCATGAAGGCAGCTCCGTTTGCCTGAAGTGGAGTTGATACTAGGGGTGGATGACACCAGGGGCAGCCCTTCAGTGGTGGATCACCTGGCTCTAAGCCCAGGCATCTGAAAGGCAGATATTGAGAGAAAGGCAGGGGAGCCTTGCAAAGCCCCAGCCAGGCCCTGCTCCCCGAGGCCGAGTGTGCCCGAGTGACCTCGAGGGGCTGCTGAAGTGTGGACTGCTTGGGCCCGCTCATAGAGTTTCTGATTTAGGAGTTCTGAGTGTGAACTGTGCTCCCAGGTAAGGATGACAGTCCAAGGATCACACTGTGGAAAGTGGCAACCCTGCAACAGGATGGAGCCCAGCCCAGAGTCCACCACTGGCCACCACAATGGAAGACACAATAGTGCATGGGCCCCGATCCTACATGGTCTTCCCCAGAGATACCTATGTCAGGGACTGGAAAGTTCAGGTGTAGAAAGCGAGGGTCCCTCAAAGGGCTCTGTAGTAACCACCATAGAAGAGCTGGTGTCCTTGGGGGAAAGGAAGGTAGGGAAGGTTGAAGACTCATCTTTTTTGTTGTTTTGGCCACTCTTTGAAGACACTCATTCTGGGAAT